CAGGCGCAGGTGTGTCTCCCACAGAACTCATTCCACGCTGATATCCAAGGCTTGCTGCACTGCAATTCCTGGGAAAAAAATAAGATATTTCTCCTACTGCCCCCTCCTTGTAGGCAATAGGGAGCCACTGAAGGTTCCTGAGCAAGTGTCTATTGTTTACTTCGTGCTCGGTATGGACATAAGAAGAAATAGATGTATGGTACAAGTTATTAAGAAAATTCACTCTAGTTGGGAAGACAACTCAAGATAGTCTACTTGGAGGTTAATACAAATAGATGCATATTTAAGTGCCAGGCAGTATAGTGCTAGCTTTACATGTGGGTAGCTTTAACCTTGCTGGGGCTCAGTTTGCCCATCTGTGAAATGGGCATTCTCATGGACTTGTGGTGAGGATGACACGGACTGAGACAGATCATCATCACCATCGTTCAGGGCAGGAGTGGCCAGAGAGGCCGGGACAGAAAGCAGGACCTCAGGTGGGCAGATGGGAGCAATATGACGAAAGCGTCACGAAGGAAGAAGCAGCCAAGAAGTTTAAGAAGAGGGAGAGTAAAATTTTCAGCAAAAATGGTTTGTTTGATTCAGGTCGAAAGACAACGGGCACGAAGATATCTGAGGTATCAGAGTGTCCGATTCTCCTCAACGTGCTCCTTCCCCAGGGGCGCCCCCTCATCGCTGCCCTGGGTCCACCTGGGGATACTAGAAACCACAGGACTCATTCGGAGCTTCTTCTTCCACCGTGACCAAAATGAAGACGTGTGTCCTTGGTTTGGATGCACAATTTACCAATGTTTGGGTTTCTTCTTAAAGTAAAATTCAGCTTGGGGTAAATCAGCTCTGAGGTAGGCCCCAGAGCACATGGGATGGTCCTTTTCATTTTGTTTTTAGGGATATATATGTATATGTTTTAATTAATTAATTAATTAAGAGAGAGAGAGGGAGCGGGCATATGCACATATGACTGGCAAGGGTGGGTGGATAGAGGGAGAGGGAGAATCCCCGTACTGAGCACGGAGCCTGACACGGGGCTCAATTTGGGGCTCGATCTTACAGACCCGGAGATCCTGACCTGAGCCCAAATCAAGAGTCGATGCTTAAGGGACACAGCTACGCAGGAGCCCCAAAGATATTTTTAATAGAGAAGTTTGGGGCTCACGCTCAGGGGAGCGTCTGCTTGGACTCCTAGCACCCAGGCTCTTCATGTGGCTGTATCCTAATACCCTTGAGCCCCGAGAGGCCACACAGCCCCTTCCGTAGCTCCAGATAGGGGAGCACACACCTCTTTTCCACCAGCACCCTGATTTGCCAGCTGCTGTGGGCACGGCTAGACCATCTGGCACCAGTGCCGGGGGCTCAGAGCAGGTGTGTTCCATGCCAGGTGCCCTGAGAGACACAGACCCCCGAGGAGAGACACATCTGTGGCCAAGGCCAGTGTTTGTGAAACCCTAACAGAGTGAGTTCCCCGTTCTTTCTCCATCTTGGGCCACCCAGAGATATAACTCTATGTTTCTGGCTCTGTACCCGTGGATAGAAACAAATCTTTCACTTTGAGGACGTGAAAATCTGACAGGTGAATAAGAATTGAGGTCTTTGCTTTACACTCTGAAGATGACTCTACTGTTGCTCTTATTCAGCCTAAGCCTTGGCGGAACCCTACACCAAACATCAGAAGCTCCGGGACAGAGCCCAAGCAGGGTTTCTAGAGATCCCCTAGATGATTCCGAGTGGAGCTGATTTGAAGAACCACTGGCCTAGATTCTATACCATCCCTGGGAGGGGAAAGGATTAGTGGGCTCTTGTGACTGACTCGCTGGCCGACCGGCTGGCCCACTTTGGCAGGTGATTCATACGATCCACCCGTCAGATCTTGTCTGCCAGAGGTGGTGTGCGCAGCAGCCGTGTCAGCCCTGGGGGCTGAGGTTCCAGCCTGGGGGACTTCGCCTGTTGGCCACACGGGGCTCCTGGCACTCCCAGATGGGGTGGTGGAATCAGGACAGCCATCTTCTGCGTCAGTCCTGGAAGGGGTAGCCTCAGATGTTCGCGTCACTTCCCCAGGTTTGTGGCGGGCAAGGGGGAGGAACAGATGAGTTATCTGCTGAAGAGAAGGGGAACAGGAAGAAGAAACCTCTAGTTACAGCCGCTGTGACTCTTGCTGTATACAAACCCAGGCCTGGAATAACTGACTTTTGAAAGCCGTGAACCAGCTGCCTTTTCTTATAGGGAAATGGCTGTAGCTCACTTGGAAATTATGAGAGGAGAACTTCCCAGAACTTCTAGAGTTTCCTGTCCATCATTTATTTTATTTTATTTATTAATTTATTTAGTAGATGATTATGAGAAAGCTGTCAGCCCCTGAGGAGGGGACAGCCTGTGTCTCAGAGATGGATAGGATGGAGCACAGGGTAGGAACCAGATAACTAGTCTGTCTGACTGGCAGCTCCCACGGTTGGGCGACGGCCAGGCACACCTGGTCCCACAGAGATGGTCCAGGTATGGGGAAGGGCAGGGTTGGGAGGGCTTCTGGGGAGGTACGGGTCTCTGGGAATGGACTGTGGGAACGGATGAGCTCCCTTTGAGTCTCCCCGGATTGATGCTTTGCCAGTGAATGAAGACACTGCCTGAGGCTCACATCTGTTGTTGCTTACCTCAGGCAAGCAGGAGAACCCCTGGGCTGTGTGCTGCCCCTTGGGGCGCTTGGATGGAATCAAGGTCCAGTTCTAGGGCCCGAAGGGCATGCAGGGAAAGGGTGGCTCCCTCATGCCACCGGAGAGAGTAGAAGGCTGTCCTTGATGGCTTTGTTGGTGACATGGTACCCCTGGGTCCTGAGTTCTCTGGGGCCTGACCCACACTGATCTGATGAACCATGGACGAATGTTTCACAGGTTCTGTAATTTATGGGCCTTGGTTTGGCAGCTGCCACCCTGGCCCTCATGGACTGGCATGGAATTTCAGTGATCGTTATGGGAGTGGCAGAAGCGCCGTCCTAGAGTGCCCTGTGGTGGATTGAGAAAAACATGGGCTCCACACTTGGATGGACTCTGTTCCAGGCTCTACTCAGATGCTTACTAGCAGTGGGACCACAAGTGTGTTCTGTAACCTCTCTAGGCCTCAGCTTTGTAATCTGTGAAATGGGAGTGACGGAGGTGGTACGGGAGACAGGGTATGTGAAAGACGGAGCACAGCGCTGGTACCATTAGATCTCTGAGGAAGAGGACTGGAGCAGACAGGCCAAGGGAAGAAGCTGGGATGGAAAAGGGGTCTTGGCTTATCTCCATGCAGAGGGGTGGGGGGTGGGCGTTGGGAGGCCACACCAGCTCCCTGTGGCAGCCTCAGAGTCCGACATGTTATCTGCTGTGTGAGGTTGGAGAGTGAGAGGAGGAAGCGCAGGCATCATGCTGAGCGTGCCCTCACCTCCCACAGCTTGCTGACTGCTGCCTGGGGGGACTGTGGGGACAGGCTCCAGTGGGCGGGGCCTTTGTGTTCCAACGGGTGCTGGTGTCCTGACAGGATGACTGTGGAATCCTCCAGCTGAGCCACACCCCTCCAGGAAGGTGCTGGATGGGGGCAGGGAGGCAGCCAGGAGAACACAGGGATCCCACCTCTCTGGGCCTCAGTTTCCTCATTTGCCAAAGGAGAATCCTGACTCGAGTCTTGAGTCTGCTCGGTTTCTAAAATCAGATGAATTCTGGGCGGGTTTTTACCAACTTATTTGTTTGCCCAAACCATGGCTCCCGCATCCCCGGCCACACACGGGCAGCCTGAAGACATCATCAGGAAGGTGGGCGGTGGTGAAGAGGAGGGAAAGCAAGGAACTGATCAGGGGACGGAGTCGCTTAGACCCCAGAACTCACCCTGCAGCATGAAGAACGATGACCTCCATCCCCTTCCTCAGCCTTCTTCTTCCCTCAGGCTTCCCTGCGGGTGGCCGGCGGGCACAGGGGAACCCCTGAGAAGAACACAGCAGAACAGCCTGGAATTTCCTTGTAGGTCTCCACCTGCAGAGTTAGGGCTTTAGGCAAGTGACTGAGCTCCTCTGAGCCCCAGTCGTCTCACCTGAAAATGTAGGTAATAATCTCCACCTCACAGCGTCTTGGTTCGTGAGGATTAAAGGAGACGGTGCGCGCCATATTCTGGCACAGGGGAGGTGCCAAGTGGAGGCTGGTTGTCCCCATGCCCCGGGAGAGGAGGCCAAGTCTCTCAGTTATTGTAGAGGGACAACCCCTGGCTCCTTCCGGTTCACTCATGCATTTGACAAATACATAAAGTTGACCCCTTGAGCAACTTGGGGGTTGGGGGCTCTGACCCCCTGCACGGTCAAAAACCTGAGGCTAGCTTTTGGCAGCTCCCAGACGTAACCGCTAATAACAGTCTGCTGTTGCCCAGAAGACTTAACAAATAACATGAACAGTCGATGAACACAGCTTTGCATGTCATATGCGTTTTACGCTGCACTCTTACACTAAAGTAAGCCAGAGAAAAGAAAATGTTATTAGGAAAATCATAACGAGCGGCACCTGGGTGGCTCAGTTGGTTGAACGTCGACTCTTGATTTCGGCTCAGGTCATGATCTCGAGGTGGCAGGATTGAGCCCTGAGCCTGGCATTTCTCTATTCCCACAGCATCTAAATGCAGTCTTTCCCCTAGTAACCCTAAGTAGGCAAATGCTGTTCTGCTGATGGACCGAATTCATCATCCGTGCCTGTGTGCTGGGCACGTTCATATTAGTTTCTCAGTGAGCCCGAGGGGTAGGCCTTGGTCCCACTTCACAGGTGAGGAGACTTGGAGATTTAAGTCACTGACCTGGAGCCGCTGGGCTTCCCAGGGGCACCACTGGGATTTGATCTCTGATTCTTCTCACCCTGTACCCAGGAGATTAGTTTTCACTGTGGGACTGGTGCTCCCTTCTTCTTGGTCAGGGAGGTCTTTGGGAGGGTGTGGTCCTCCCCTTTCTCATAATGAACACCGCTGCGTACCCACTCTCACTTCTGCGTCTGTTTCAGAATGTCTGTAAACCTGCCGAGGAGGCCACGCAGCAGCCGCCCACACTGCAGGAGATCAAGCAGAAGATTGACAGCTACAACACCCGGGAGAAGAACTGTCTGGGCATGAAGCTGGTGCGTGCGGGGGGCCTGCCCGCCTGCCCCCACCCGGCCCCCGCCGCCTCTTCCACTGGGGCTCCTCTGTTCTCCCTCTGGATTCTGGGGCCGCCCCTCCCCTTTCTTCAGTCCTGGGGAGGCCTCGGGGTTTGTGGGAGGCTGTCAGCCCCCCACCCCCCGACACCGCTCCCGTGTGCTGCAGGGAAAAAGAATGGGCTTTAGAATAAGATCCAGGTCCATCTCTGGCTCTTCCCCTTTTCCCGCTTTGGGAAACCCTTTTAACCTCCCTGGGCTTTGGCGTAAAATAGAGATATTAATGCCCATTAGTCAGAGCTGTTGTGGGAATTAAGTACGGTACAAAGACCTCAATAACTGGTATCACTTGGCCCCCAGGAAGGCTTCATAAGAGGGAGTTCCCAGCTCCTGTCCTCTCCCTTTTCCTGTGTCCCGGGGAAGCTTCCGGGGAAGCTTCCGGAGACTGTGCAGAGCTCTGAGGGGAGGCGCCAACTCTGCCGGGCTCCCAAAGGCCGTTGGCAGCCAGAAAGGGAGAAGGTAGAAGATACCTGCCCCCTGCTGGTTCCTGCTAGCAAATGGCTCTCTGGGGCTTCAGCCCAATGGGGCACTAGAAAACCCAGTCTCCCCTGGTCCTGGGTTTAAGCCTTGCAGGCTGCTGGGTTTTGGAAAGAGATGCAGAAGGAAATGTAGTGGGCTCATTTTCCAAGGACCTCATTACGGAGCTTTCCTCCTCCTCCCTGGTTTGGAGGGACAAACTAGAGAGGCCACTCCAGACCCTGCCTCCTAGGAACAGGGACTCAGCAAAGGTAGGGGACTGGGGGCAGGGAGCCTGAGCCCTGGGAGGGCAAGCCAGAGTAGCTCCTCCTGTCCTCTCTGGTTGCTGGATACTGCAAGCCTTTTCCTGGCCTTATGCAGGGTGGGCAGGGGGACATTGTCTCTGCCCTCCAGCACCCCCAGGTCGGCAGAGACAGGAACAACTTGGGGAGACAGGTCGGGGGCTGACTGGGATAGCCCTGCTATTAGGAAAGGCCTCTGCAAACCGCGTCTCCCCCACCCCCACCCTGACCCAGCCTGCGGCAGTGGCTCAGAGTGGCAGATGCGATCATGCAAGATAGACCCGAGTTGACCCATAGCACATCCCCTGCTCTGCAGAGTGAAGATGGCACCTACACGGGTTTCATCAAAGTGCATTTGAAACTCCGGCGGCCGGTGACAGTGCCTGCTGGCATCCGGCCCCAGTCCATCTATGACGCCATCAAGGAAGTGGACCTGGCGGCTACCACAGACAAGCGGACGTCCTTCTACCTGCCGCTCGATGCCATCAAGCAGCTACACATCAGCAGCACCACCACGGTCAGTGAGGTCATCCAGGGGCTGCTCAAGAAGTTCATGGTTGTGGACAATCCCCAGAAGTTTGCACTTTTTAAGCGGATACACAAGGACGGGCAAGGTATGCAAGGGCGAGCTTCCCATCAGAAACCATCTCCCCCACTAAAGGCCTGGCAGACTTGGTGTGGAGGAGGACTGGGCTTCCCTGGGGCACCACTGTCCAGCCACGTGGCAGAGAGCTGGCTGGGAAGCTCATGCCTGCTCCCTGCGCCCCTCACTTTATATGTGACTACAGGAAAACCACACCCTGGGCTCCCACTTCCTTATCTGTGGAAGGGGAGAGAAACCGCCCACCTTTCCTAATCTTTTGGGGAGGTGATGCGAATGGGAATATGCTTCAAACTCTGGGCAGACACCAAAGATAAAAGGGCATTCCCTATTCATGTCAGGTTCATTTCATTAGGTTGAAAGGATGGTTACTTCCGGTCATGACCTTCCCATGTCTGCATTTCCGGGTCTGTCCCACCCTCACTGAGTCCCTGACCCTCTTTTCCGAGACGCGCCTCCAGGTCCCTCTCTTGCTTTGCAGTGCTCTTCCAGAAACTCTCTATTGCCGATTGCCCTCTCTACCTGCGCTTGCTCGCTGGGCCTGACAATGATGTCCTCAGCTTCGTGCTCAAGGAGAATGAAACTGGAGAGGTGGAGGTGGGTCTGGGCCCCTTTGCGCGGTGCAAAAGCCCAGACCTCAGGGCACCCTGGCTGGGTGCTGGCGGGCGTCGTCCTCACCACTGGCATGCGTTGGGGCCATGCGGCAGCCTCGGAGGCAGCTGGGAAAATGTCCTGGGGAAGTTGAGCCCGGGGAAGTGCTGGGCTGCGGAGTTCAGTGTCTAAAGCCGGGATTGTAAGCATCCTGGGGGAGCAAGTCGGGGCCTGTGTCTGGCAAGGCCTGTGGAAAGAAAGGATTTCGTGTGCCTTTTTTTTTTTTTTTTTTTTTTTTCCTGAAAAGCCGGGGTAGAGGGACACTGAGAAAGGCCCATGTACCAGCCGGGGTTGTTTTGCTCCAGGATGGTCTGAGGTCCAGCCAGCTCCATCTCTGGCCTCCACTGGATACAGAGATTTTGGAGCCATTTGTCTCTTCCTGGTTCGTAAAAACTGGCCCTTTTCCTCAAAGCGCTGCTCATCAGAGTCCAATCCGGTGGCACGGAGTCGGGTGAAATCAGGCTGGTGCTCCCTGTGGCCTGGGATCCTGGGGCTCAGGAATCACTGAGGAGTCACCGAGGCCAGGTGTTTGCCACTCTGTACTCAGTGGAGGCCTAGGGTTTGGGGGAGCAGTCTCCCAGGTCATTCGGTGGTCTGGGGGATCCAGGCAGGTCGGGGCCCTGTCCCTTCTCCCTGCTTCAGTCAGGCAGCTCTGCCTCATATGATTTACACGTTAGAGTGCGTAAGCGTTTGTTCAGGAAAAAGTACTCTGCTGACAGTGTTTGGACACTGCTGGCCCAGTGTAGACCTCTGGGGCCTGGGAGTTTAGAGACCAGGCCCTAATTCCCTTTCTGCTGCCGCCAGCTCTGTACCCACAGCTGTATCTCCTCCTGTCTGTGGACTTCAGTCTTCTCCATTATGCAATGGGGGGATTAAACTAGATAAACCTTATGTGCTCAAAATCCCTGGCTCCACGGATGGTGGGGGAATTGGTGAGGGGTGGGGGCGAGGGGTTGGGGGCTCTGTTCCTGGGTCAGTCTGAGAGTGGTCAGGTCCCACTGGGGCAGGCCAGGGCCAACAGGGCTGTCCGGAGCTTTCTGGGTTCTGGGTTCCCATTATCTGCTCTGCCAGCCAAGGGAGGCAGGGACCCTCATTCCATGGCAGATGAGCTAAGCAGACAGAAGGGCACAGTGATGTGCCCAAGGTCACGTGGTGCTGTTGGGCTGAAACCCCTTCTCTGGAGACCAAGCCCAGCTCTCCTCCACCTGCCTCTTGAGGGCCTGCACACTGAGAGCCTTTCGCTCAGCACCCCCAAAATGGACATCCGGACAGGCCAGCAGGGGCCTGGGCAGCCCCAGTATCACTGTTCAGACCTTATCTGCCACACAGAAAATATCAGATGGTTGATTCTCCAAATAAAACATGACATGAGATGTCAGGATTTGAAATCTGGTGGCTGGTAACACAGGAAACCCAAGCTTTCTCCACGGCAGTGGTCTACTCGGTAGTAAGCCCTGTGTAAGCTGTGTGCAGATGGAGGCAGCGGGGGTTGGGGGCCCCTCAGGTCGTGCGGCTTCTGACCTGTCTCCTGTTCCTTTCTCCCCCATCGCACTCGCGGCTCACAGTGGGACGCCTTCTCCATCCCCGAGCTCCAGAACTTCCTAACGATCTTGGAAAAGGAGGAGCAGGACAAAATCCAACAAGTGCAGAAGAAGTATGACAAGTTTAGGCAGAAACTGGAGGAGGCCTTAAGAGAATCCCAAGGCAAACCTGGCTAACCGGTCCTGCTTCCTCTTCTTCTGGTGCCCATGGATTTCTTTTTATTATTAATTATTATTTTGCAACAGACACTTTTTCTCAGGACACCTGTGGCGGGTGCATCTGTGCCCCCCTCCCCCTCTGGGCAGTTCCAGATGTGGCACGAAATCTCTGAGGGACACGTGTGCTCGCCGGCTGGGCCCCACCTGCCTCACGCTGCCAAGGAGCGGGACCCCAGGGGGAGAGAAGAGCCTCAGACCTCAGCGTGGTCCTCGAGCTCTTTGTAAGCCAACCAGCTGCCTCTGTCATCCCCAAACTGGAACTGTTTGCACCAGCCGGCAAAGGAAAGAAGAAAGGTTTCAGAGCTGTATGTTCTTTCTCTGGCTTTCATTCTTCCTCAATCTCTTATTTGCCACTCATAGACCTTTATTTATGAGTCAAAAATTATAGTATATTCCTTGAGCAGGTCTGGGCTAAGCCCCCGAAAGTAAGATAATGCTCGTAAGAGGATTGCCCCTCACTGTCCCAAGGTGCCCGTTGTTCATGCTCAAGGGAAGGTCATAAAGCCACTGGCCCCAGATGCTCAGGTAGGGAGCCCCAAAGCTGAGGCCGGCTCAGAGATTTCCAGAGAAGCTGCAGCCTGCCTCAGCCCTCATCGCTCAAGTCTGCACCCATGGAAACCCAAAGGCATATCTATTTGCGTGTGTATGATGCCTCGTCACGTCTTTGTCAACAAGTGTTTGTTTTTGAGTTACAACTTGGGAGTTTCATATTGCCTTCATCCTCATGTGTTTCCACAAAGGGAAACCAGCCATTTACCAATTTTAATGTCTCCTGCTGAGTACGGAAATCAGGCAGTTGGAGAAAGCCAAAAAGCGTTGCAGAGAAATGTGTCCAACTTGTCCTCTGCCTTCCCCCAGCTGGAGAGCCGGGGAGGGCTTGGCTGCCCTGCTTTTCCCACTTGGCCTTCCGCACTGCCTCTTCCCTCCCCAGGGGCATGCTGGGGTCTCCAGGTGCTGCTGGAGGAGCTGCCTTGAGGACAGATGGGGAAACCTCCCAACTCAGCCCACGTGGAGTCCTTTGTGCTCTGAAGCCCAGGCCAGCCCAAGGCGTTGTGCTCTGTGAGCTTGCGGGCTGGCCTCCGGCTGATCTCAGTGCCTTTTTGTTTTCAGAGAGAGACAGGAGCAGGGTGTACTTGCTTTGCTGCTGGCTTGCTCCTGCCAGGAAGGGGACAGCGGTGGTGTGGGAGGCAAGGCCAGGAGAGCCCTCCAGCCGAGAACGGGGCAAGAGTCACAGACCTCCTTCCCCTCTAAGGTCTTGGGCTTTGACTCCCAGGAAGTGATGTTAAACCACATGGATGGGGTGGATGAGGTCCCCAACCTACATCTGTACCGGCTCTTGTTCGGGTGCAAAATGAAAAATAAACTAGCCAAGCAACTGAAGCAAGTGGCCAGGCTGCAGACAGTCCCTTGAGAGGGAGGAGGACTTTTCACGGTCAAAGCAGGGCCGGCTTTCCAGTCCAGCCTTGGAGAGATCCCTTCTTCACTCTCCTCTGCCTTCCCAGGTCCTTCTTGGGTTGGGTTGAGCCCCAGCTTCTTCGTGTAGCCTCAGAAGTCCCTTCCCTGACCCTTGCTGTGTCCACACTGCCCCCAATCCCAGAAGGAATGCTGACCCCAAGTCATACGAACTGTGTGTAGTCTTCAGAGCTGCAAAACCAAGACAAGCTAGCAGCTCAAAAAGAGTGTTTAGGTTCCCCAGAACCCTGGTTCTCTGCCATCTCATGCTCAGCCTTATTGCTTCCCTCCCTGAAAAAAAACTCTCTCTCCCTGCTGTGTATTAAAGGGAGCGGGTAGAGAGTCCTTTTCCTTCATGCTGCATGTCCTTAACATTAAAGGAAGGCACGGCTCCTGCTGCAGCCACCGTGAATGCTGCTGAGAACCTCCCTCTGATGGGGGTGGCTATTTTATTTTTGAGAAGGAAAATAAAGTCATGTATATATATACATAAAGGCATATAGCTATATATAAAGAGATAGGGGTGTTTATGAAATGAGAAAATTCTGGGAAAATTCTGACTTTATCTAAAGCACAGTTAGACCCAGGACCCATGCTGAGGTCCGAGCCTCGGCGAACAGTCTGTATAAAGTATCCCTTCCCCCAGAGGTGGGTATGACTGCTGGTAGTGCCTTCTATCCTTGTGTTGCCCTGTGTGTATGTGTTTGTTTTGAGGATATTTTCCTTTTAAATGTCTTTCTTATATGGATTTTAAAAAATGTAATAAAAGCTTGTTGCAAAAATGACCCAGTCTGGAGCCCTCTTCTTTGTCCTTTATCATCTCCTGGAAACTGGGAGCCAGGGGAGAGCGTGGGAACGGAGAAGAGCACGTAATTCTGGGGAAAGTCAGATTTTCTTCTGCCAGCGAGCAGAGGAATGAAGGCTGCTCTTCAAAGAATCTTGAGAAAACTGTCCAAGTGCACGGGCTGGAAGGCACTGCCCAGGTGCCTGGCTGCTGTGCTGTCCCACAGAGCAGGAGAGGAAAGGGGATGTATTCTAGAAGGGGATCCTGAGTGAGAAAAGAGGAGGGGCTTTCTGGAGCTAAGCATCGGGACAGACTACTGAGGTAGATGATGATTCTTCTACTTCTGGAATTATTTAAAGACAGGATGTATCTGTGAGAGTTTAAGGTCATCTAACCTAGAGGAGGAAGGCTAGATGAGGCGAGTAAAACAGTCCTTTCACATTAGCATTATTTGACTTCCATCAGGGGAGGGGCTCTGTCATCACGGAAATAACCACGCAGCGTTATTAAGAAGAAACCGCTGCCCACCTTCTGGTAGGGACACGTGCACTGAACGAGGGCCCTCGGGCCACAGAGGCTGGTCAGAGGGAGACAGCTCACTCCCTACCTCCCTGGCGGAGAGAACATTCCATCCAATAGACATTCCTAAAATTATCCGAGAACGGGGCACCTCTGTAACATCTGTTCGCCTAGACTTCCAAGAAGTAGGTCTTTCAATAACTTCGCCAAAACCTGGACATGAACCGGTTTCTGCTTTTCACTGCAACCCATTTGGTAACATTATGGGAGTAAGTTCAAAGTTCTGAATTTGACTTTGAAAGAGACTGCTGGGCCTAGCAGAGAAAAAAAAAAAAATCCATTCAACAGCCTAACCTTCGCCAGCCTTCTTACACATGCCTATGGTGCTCCCAGGAGGAGAGGGAAGGTGAGTCAGCACAAATGGGTAATTGTTACTGGAAAAACCTTTCAAAACGCAGGTCCTGACAGCACGGTCATAGCAGGACTCTGAGTTAAACCACAGTCAGGAGTGAAAGTGCATTTTAGACCCACCCTTGCCATTTACTGGCTTTGTGTCTTTAACAGAGATCAACAGGATGGGACACAACCCCTCTGAGCCTCCAATCCCACCAAGACTGTGCAAGGTAAATGATGTTTGTGAAAGAACCTTACAAAATACTACACGTTATCTGTGTTCATATAAGGACTGTGTTCCAATATACTATACGTACCACACTCCCTCAGATCAAACTGTCTGTCCAAAGGTTCTGTTGTCATAGAATCTTGTTTGGGGTCAATTTCCAAAAATTCCTTCCTTGGTTCCATAGGCTCATGCTGGCAGAGAGAGGATTAGTAAAATTAAGGCATTTCCTTACAGTGAGTCACAAGTGATAGGGACTTTTATTTTGGGAAGCATCACACACATACTCCCCTTCGTACTCATCCGTTTTTCCTTTCTAGCTCCAGAGGGGTAATTTGTGAATGTTGTGGATATTTTCAAGTCTTTCTTACCCTAATTAAAAAAAAAAAAAAAAAAAAAAAAAAAAGGGATAAGAAAGGGAAAAAAAGTAAATTAAACTTTGTTTTTTGAGGGTAAAACCAAAGACCTCTGGAATTCAGGTCAGCTCTCACCCCTTCCTTTTGTACAAGGAGCGCTTTGTGGTCACAGAAGTGACTCCCAGGAACTAACCAGGGACCAAAGCAGTGGTTCTGAACCTTTCTGGCAGCCAGAGACTCCGCTGGGCATGTGACAAAGACATGGGAACCCGAGGAAAATGAGCGCACAAAATTCTGCGTACCATTTCAGGGAGTTCACCGACTCTCAGACGACCAACTGAAGATCTCTTCTGTGAGCCCCCAGTGTTGTACCTGAGTTTTCGCGTCCGAGAGACCACCAAGGGGCCGACACCCATGCAATCACGCGAGGGTTTATTCGACAAGCTTAGACTTGGGTCCAAGTATACCCGACAGCAGAGTAGGGACTTGGACCCCGAGCTTAGTTAAGGCAGGGGTATTTATGGGTTCCTGTTACTAAAGCAGGGTGGGGGTTTCTGGAACCAAAGCAGGGTGGGGCTTCCTGTTACTAAAGCAGGGTGGGGGTCTTTAGAACTAAAGTAAAGTAGGGGAAAGTTCAGCCCTTGGGCACAGGGGTCTGAGATGGCTGTACTTATGCCAAGGCTAAATCTGAGGTGGGATGGCCTTTATTTTTCTCGGCCTCCACACCCAGCAGCATCTGCTGGATAAGACTTTCCTGTGACAAAGCCACGTCTGGAAGCCACACCATGACTTACCACAGCTGGCGGCAACGTGCCGGTGCTGGGATGGTAGTGCTTTTGCAGGAGATCCAGATGCTTTCAGGACTTCTGATTCCTGTCCAGCCGGGATGGTGCTGCCATTTAGAGCCAAGCCTCTCTTCTTTGGCCTGGCATGACGGCAGAGAGTGGCTGAGGGCCACTTCTGTGTGACTAACCCTTTCGAGATGTGAGGGGACTCTTCTGGGGCTAGGAGGTTAATTAGGTGGTGGGAACAGATGGGCCAGAGGCTGTGGACCACTTGCTAGAGGGGCTTTAAAAACAGGAGGCCCTACCTGCCTGAGCTTTGGATGAGCGACCCAGTGCTGATAGCAGGAAAGGGACTAAAACCACTGAAATCACATGAATAGAAAAGGTACTCCACTGCCACCTTTCCTGTCCACATAAACTGACGTATAACTTGGAAATTTAGAACAATATTCTAGCTAAGTGGAGGAAACGAGAGGAAAATCAGATTTAGATTAGAATATAAATTTATTTTGGTAAAGAATTATATTTTTTCATTTGCAAAAGCTGAAAATGCTCATATAAATGACCAGCCCAGAGCTCAGATCTCCACTGGATCGACCACATGAAACAGGAGTCTGTTACTTCTTCTTGCTGGGTTTGGGGGCCTTTTCTAGGCCTTGGAT